CAATTATTTGGCAGGCAGCAGCGGTGGCCGCAATAGTAGACTCTTCGGTCTCCTGATCAGTCGCCGTGCGGGTTCGAATCCCGTCCCAGAAGAAAATTTTCTCTTGGCTATGGATGTTGTGATTGTCCGTAGGTGGCAAACGGTCTCTGACTGTCGAACGCGGAGGTACCACCCGGCGGATCTCGTAGGCGGGGCCAGAATGTGTGCATGTTTCATGCACACGTGTTCCCTTGCCAGAATTCGTGTGGCGTCCCCCTTTCCCCTGTATCCCCCTATAGCCCCACGGTACCCCATTGGTGTTTAGGCCTTAGGCCTTCATGGTGGTTGGAGTATAAAAAAAATTCCTGGGGATCCTGGAAATTTTTTAGAATGACCGTCTTGTTGTGGATCCGTGATTGAATGTTGAAGAACTGGAAGGGTGGTGGCGACATCGTCTACTAAATCAGTGCTTCTAAGAATGAATATTTTTATGAAGAGGAGAGGTTTCTGAGTTTTAATGATCTTGGATGGTTCAAAAATCGGATCAATAATATACATTTTACCACTTCATAGTAAGAGCGGTTCCTCGTTTTTTTACTTGATTTCCTTGATCCGTCTATTGCCTTTGAGAATCAATTATTTCCTAGGGTCCCTCGAAATTTTTTAGAATGTCTGTCTAGATCGCTCCCCCTATTTCCTTTAAGCTCTTTATCGCCTCCCACCCCTCCCTCCAGTAGGTCTCCAGCGACCACAAGAGTACCTTATCGCCCACTTTCAGAAACAGTGATATACAAACTGTGCAATTTATTATATTTTCCTATTGTGATATGTCTTAGGTTATTAACGATCCTAAATCTGAAAATTTCGCTTCTCCCAGAAACCATACTCTCCAGCCGTGGGCAGTTTATCTCTTTTTCCATCGTTTTCAAACCTCTATTAATGATTTTCTCTCGGAGTCGCTCTCACCCTGTGCCCTCTCACGTTCCAGCGAAAATAGCATAAAAAACCTCCCACACTCACACTCCGGGCAGCGTCAGACAGCCTAAAATACGTCGAAGAGATATTGACCGCCAGCACATCCACAGGGGATTCAGATGCAGTCCCTCACGTTGGGAATATCGCTAATGTTTTTATTGTGAGCCTTTCCAAGATTCTGCTGGCAATGTTTTGTTTATTTTACGAAGCATACGCGACCATTATCTCTCTCTACAATTACTTTAACACTCAATGTAGGCTAGGTACCCAAGCAAAAGATTCAAACATTGTTTCCCTAAGGGCTAATTTCACCAACAACAGTCCGTTATTCTCCACCTATAGGGTAACAGCCCGTCAAATACAGCGAATGAGCTTCAAGTTCCAATCAACAAATTTTAGCAAGCAATAGCTATGAAATGTTGAAAACAAAATACTGTCAGTATGAGATGACTGACATCTTGTCATTGAAACATCATCAGCTTATTGAATATTAAGAAATTACATATAATTCAGTCAAAATTTAAACAAATGTTTGAGTTTTGAATAAAATTCATGATTTAATTACTATTGTTGATTTTTTATTCATGTTTATATTATTTTCTTCAATTGATATGCGATTTTACTAATTCAAGATCATCTACTAGGTGTTTTTTCCTATAAATCTCTTGCAGATAGCCATTAAGTACCTACTTGATGACTGGCTCTACCAAAAAGTTCATAGATATTGCTCGTTTCCAAACATTCATTCATTTACTTGCCGTTCATCAGAACCATTATGGCACCTTAGATTGATATTCCCACAAAACCGATCTGGTTTTTTTAATATCCATACATCCATAAAGTTGAATATTTTTCGTTGTTCAGGAACTTAACAAACATCCACACTATATTAGCGATTAAGAAATACCCAAATATATGTCGTAGAGCTACCAGCAAACCTAAAACCTGCAGAAAAACTAGAAATTTGCAATATTTTTCTTTTTTCACTGGGTACATATTCTGGGTTATATTTATATTAGACGTTATTTGAATCACAAAACATATACACTGATTTGAATAACAGCTGATTATCTCCTGATATTTTAAAACTAACCATATCGACAAGTGACACATAATTCTGTGGGATCCGTCAACACTTCGTCAAACTCTGCCAACTGTCGAAATAAACTTTATTAATTCCAAGTCTTATTTTTGTTTTACTGTGCCTGCTTAGATATTCAAATACGGCCAGGAATTATTAGCGCCTGGCTATTTTAGGCCTTCAATAACTCCTTATTTTAGATCTCTCCTTATTTTGTTTTTTCCATGCAATCATGGTAGAAAGAAAAATATTTTATCGAATATCGATACCGTATACCATGCAGCAGGCACGCCCATCACTACTTTGACAGATTGCAGAATGATGTCAAGGTGACAATCGTTATGTGGCAGTTGTTTTTGTTTTTGTCTGAAATAGGTAAGTAGGCTTTGTGTATTCATTTTTATTTTTACAGCGTTTCCAGAATTTCATATTTCGAAACGATGTCAAGGGCCTGCAGGGGAAAATCTTTCTCTGAGAACTGAAAATCATTGAACGCGCTGTTTTCAATCTATTTTATTCTATCCCTTGGGGAAGTACAGAATGAAGAAAAGACTACAGTGCTCAGTGGCCACTCAGTTCATTATTTGATAATGTACTGATAATGTAAAATGCAAACAATTAAAAAAACGGACTTACCACTAACTGCCTCAGCGCTTCATCTGGTGTGTGAAAGTTTATTGAACTTATTAAAAAAATCCACTTATAAATAGGGAACACAATTTTGATACATACATTGTTTTTCTTTTAAAACCCACACTGCACTTTTTTAGTATTCAAAGAAGGTGTTCAAAATGTCGTCCTCCACTGTCCACAAAAGCTTCATTACGACGAACCCAGTTTCTTCTTACTCTAGGTCCTCGAAGTTGTCCATTTATTATTTCAGCCGCATTCAATTTTTTTTCGCGAAGTTGTGCTTCAGTTGTTATTAGACCAGCCCCATAAACCAACCCTTTAAGTTCTCCCTAATACCAGAAATCCATCGGATTGAGGTCAGGAGATCTTGCTGGCCATTTTCGAGGATTAGGAGCATTTCGACCGATCCAGGGATTTGGATAATGTTCATTCAAATACTGAATGACGCCTCTAAAAATGTGTGGTGGTGCCCCGTCATGAAGAAACCACAAATTATGTATCCGTTGTAATGGCATGTTGTCCAAGGTCTGTTCCAAAAGTTCTGGTAGGTTATTGGCTATAAACCTAAGGTATCCTTCTCCTGACAACTTTGGGGGTAACTCGAAAGGGCCAATCACCTGATCGACAAGAATACCTGCCCAAATATTTATTTTAAAACGTTGTTGGAAATGACCTTTGCGAATGGCACGAGGATTTTCTTGGGCCCACGTGTGAGTATTATGGAGATTTAGTATCCCGTCTCGCGTAAAAGTACATTCGTCCGTCGCTAGAATGTTTTTAAAAAATCCGGATTTTCAATGTTTTTGTGCAAAAACCACTGACAGAATGTTAGACTGCGAGGATAGTCTTCTGGTAACAAGGCCTGCATTCGTTTTACATGGTAGGGATAAAGCCAATTTTCCCGTAGGATTCTATGAACTATGGTATGCCATAGTCCTACGCGGAGGCCTAATTCCAGAGTGCTGATATCTGCAATGATTTTCACGATATTTAAAATTTGTTCCTCCTGCTCTACAATAACCTGTCTTTCACGAGTGTGAATATTAGTGGACTGAACACTTCCTGTATCTCGAAGTCTTTGGTACATTTGCACAAATGTCCTTCTGTCTGGGTGTACCCGTTGGCAAAATCTGTCGCGATAAATTTTAGCTGCAAGATTTGAATTCTGACGAGCTTCACCGTAAACTAACAACATGTCGGCGAACTCTTGATTCGAGAACATTGTAAATAAACACGACGACGTACGCGAACAAAAACAAAACAACACGCCCAAGGCTCTGCTCGACAAAACGATGAAGTAATTTATCTATGCAAAACGATAACTAACCACTGTTACCGTTTGCGATCGATTGCCGGTTCGATAAGAGTGATGAATGACCGACGCGGTTTTGTCATGTGTGTTTTAAATATTTAATTTAATGAAACTTACTTACTCACTGACTAGAAATTTTGGCTTAACTTAGAAAAACTTAATGCCATTTATTTGTTAATTACCCAATTTAAGAACGTTTTAGATTAGATTATAAAAATGAGTAAGATTGTGGTGATTGTGGTCGATATAAAACACCTAAAGCCATTACTTAAAGTTGTAAACTATAAAGCCATTTAGACAAAAATCTATTGACTTTTGGACCATGGGTCATATGAACTTTTTGACTTGTTTTGACCCCCCTATTACCCATTTCAATAATGGCTACCATAACGTTTACACCCTGTATAAACTTTTTCATGGTATTGTTGATTCTTCAGAATTGTTATCCCACCTCCAATTTTTAGTTCCAAGGGAATGTTCTGAAACGATTCCTTCTTTTTTTGCACCCGTACAAATACCAACTTAGTTTTAAAATCTCCTGTAATAGTCAAGTGCATGAACTTCAACAGAATATGGAGTATTTGTGATACCTTTCTGTGTTCTCATCCTCAACTCAAGAGGGTTTTATGGTAGCACTTCAAATAACGTTATACATGTTACACTAATGTTTCTTTATTCTCTTAAATTTGAACAAATTAGTATTGTTTTTTTTTTATTGTTATGCCAGATTTTAATTCTTTGACCTGTAAATGGAATTATAGTAATTCTGTTGAGCAATAAATGCTATTATTATTATTATCATCATTATTATTATTAAGGCTGTTCGGAAGAGTATAATAAAAGTTGAATTAAACAAATAATGATTAACTTTACAATAAAAAAGAATACTGTGTAAAATCGTCTTGCATTCGGTTGTCGGTCAGGATGTTAGGAAAGGTAATGAAACGATTATTTTGAAGTGAAAAGCGTCTAAATTTATTCACAGTCTCCCACAATTTTAAAAGCAATTTACATGCGTGTCGTAAGTTAGTCAGCGCCGAAGTTAAACCCCTCTATTTTGAAAGACATATTTCTTTCGAAAACAATCATTCTCTGCTCAAGAACTTCAATCATTCGTTCGCCGACTATTTTTCGGTTTTTGTTTTGGAACATTAATTATTTTAATTCCTGGTAGCTGGAAATAGACCTGAAAAAATTATGAAACATGACAGACATTAGTAAGAATGAATACAGGTTATAAGCGGAATCTACTGTTCGTTTTAGGTATAGTAACGCTACTGTAAGGCCTGGTTTTTCTATCGCAAGTTAACCGCAATTTCACTGCTGACCGGAAGTAGAACCTCAAGAATCGTTTTCAGTATCAGGTAAACATTAACCATTGGACCAGGTATTGGTGAAATAGAAAGTTGTAGTTTCACCTCAAATTGTAATGTATTTTGCTTGACAGCGACATGAGTTGTTGTCAGGGATGAGACGAAACATAAATATTATCCAGCGTCAGGAAACGCACAAAACACGATAGTTCAGACGTAAAACCGGCGTTGCCGCTTCAACGGTTACTAGTTGACCAGTACTTGAAAAATGACTTCGGTAGCTGCCCTATAAGCTTTATAGTTAGCTCGTGTGGGAAGTTACTTTTAGGCATAAGACTGTAAGACTCGACATCAGCTGGGCTTCTGGGCCGGACTTGATTCATGCCGTTGTACTGAACAGGTGTGCAGCGGAGCTCGCTCCAGTCCTTTCGCGTCTCTTACAAAAAATTTTCTTGGTCCAACCCAGGGGCGTAGCTATCCTAGGGCAAACCGGGGCAGTGCGCCGCGGCCCCGGCTTATAGGGGGCCCCGGCCATGCGCCTCAAAAAAATTGTTTTTATATATATAATAGAAAGAAAAATAAATAATAAATATAATGATAAATAATGTTTATTTTTTAAAACGCTACATATTTGAGGTAAACGCTTGCGTTCCTAAATGTATGTAGCTATAATCCGTCGGACCGCGACGGGCTTGGCACTACCGCCTTAATATTACGTCTCGTCTTTGGGGATTCCCCGATCTATTGTTTTGATGATTTTAACTACCCAGCGTGCCCTATGTGATATTGATATGTGTCGTAGTCGTGCCGTGGTGCCCGGCGTGGTGTAAAATAACATTACTATATTTGTATTGTGACTATTGTGTCTCGTTATAATAAGGTACCTATTAGAAAAAAAGGTAAGTGTAAGTTACATTACTTAATGAATAAATGGCTCGATTTTGATTTGTGCGTAATTTTGTTTGTAAATGTACATTTGTCCATTACCTTGCTGAGTAAAGGCGCCCGCAGAATTTCCGCAACGTAAGACTTAAGAGTTAAGTTTCATTTAAGACAGATTAAGACTTAACCGCAAGGAATTATACAGAATTCTGATCAGGTGATTTATAAAGTATAGTCAAGACTTAAGCCTTAAGGCATGAGAAAATACGTTACAGCTTGAGGTTGAAGTCTGGGCTTAAGTCTTATGTTACGGATACTCTGCGGGCACCTTAAACCCGACACTAAATTCGAAAAGCTTCTTAAAGACTAAAAATGATCTATTGAGTGTTTCAAAAATATCGACTAATTTTTTTTCTCTTAAGTATTATAGTATATGGAACAAATTGTTAGAAATGACGAAAAAAAATCCTGTAAAAGTTACAGCTCTTTAACATTTCTTCATTAACATAGAAAAAAAATTGTTTTCAACTTTTGAATTTTTTTCTCAATACTAAATTATCATACGGACATGAGTTCATAGTTTACTCTTGTAGGGAATTGAATGGTTTACAAAAAAGGTCTCTGACAATTTTCCGATAAACCTACTCGTTCAAAAGCTTTACTTTCACAGGATTTTTTTTTCGTCATTTCTAACAATATTTTCGACGTACTTGAGAGAAAAAAATAGACGATTTTTTTGAAACAGTCTAATTGATACACAACTATCGAACTATTTAATGCATTTAAAAATGGTTGTGTATTCTTCTCTTTGCAGAATTAGCAGATTGCGGAACAAAACGCAAAAAAATAAAAATGGAAGATAAGCGGAAATATCAGTCTGGAGCACAGAAACGAAAATTGAAATTAGAAAAAGAGGAAAAATTAAAAAAGCATGCTGAAAAAGTACAAGTAACTATGCAAAATATATATTCGTTTTTTGGTTTAAGTATTGATTGATGGGATCTTTTAGCTTCTTTTACCAGTGAATCCAAAACAACTTTAAGAACGTTAAATTCAACTCGTTGGTCAGGAAGGATATTGTCTATTAGTCTCACTCTTAAGTGATTACAGATTTAATAATAATCAAATTTTATTTAAAATAAATGTGTTTAATGTTGTTACGAACCGTGTTCTGACAGAGATTTCTAATAGATTTAGGAGCATGAAAAAAATTAATAAATTGTTCCAAACTTCTTCCAAAAATTATATTAAGTTGCGATAAACCATCCATTAAAAATAAATGTACAGCCATTTATAACAAATATCCTGAAATATTTGATTTAAATAATTTAATATTTCAGTATACCAATTTGTTAAATGTTTGTAAAAGAGACCTTAAAAATGATCTATCAATTGAGGAATATTTCAATATAATTTTAAGTAAGTATGGGGTACTTGAAAGCGACTTAAGTGAAGTTTACTTAATGTTCCTTTTATTTTTTACGTTGCCTGTAACTACTGCATTTGTTGAAAGATCATTTAACAGGCTAAAACTTGTAAAAAACTATCTTAGGTCTACTACAGGCCGGATTAGATTAAGCGATCGTGCTTTGCTCTCTATAGAGAATGAAAAGCCCAAAACCTTGATATAAATGATATTATCAACGAATTTGCAAATAGACAAGCAAGAAAAAGGGTTTTTTAATTTTATTATTGTTTAATTTTTGACTTTTGTAATTTCATTATTTTAATTTGTGTTACTTTTTGTTTTTATGACAATAAACATTTTTTTTATTATAACATGATATTTTTTATTCTTAAACATACTCATGAGGGCTCCCAAAAAATGTTTGCCCCGGGGCCCCATGACTTCTAGCTACGCCACTGGTCCAACCCATCCCAAAAAAGGATCGAAGATGAAAGGCATATAGATCTACGTTCTGCTATAAGTAAGGTAATGGAGGTGTACATAAATCGGGAGCTTCTGAACCAGCTCGAATGTCACACTTTCATTAGGCACAGGTAGATAGTATGGTTTCCAACACCAAATATCCACGCGGAACCTCCTAGATTCCGTCACGCAACCGTAGAGTAAACTCATCCAGTCTGATGCTGCCCTGTTATGCAAACTTGCATCCTGTGAACTACTGTGCAGATAAGAGCTGTCCGACTGATCAACTCTTCTCTAAATCGGATTAACAAAGTATCTTTAAGCTCCTCATAGCAGTCGCGGTGCCCTGGAATTTAGGCTTCTGATTGCGCCATTGCCTCGGTGCAAATAAACTTAAAAGTAACAATTAACCAACTTGAAAGGTATAACTTGCGATTGGAAAACCGATCCTGAATGCCAAAGAATTCTAGCCTAAAGGGTTAATTCATTCCGCACTATGACGGCACAAGAAAGTACTCTTTTCTTTTTACTGTTTATTGGATGGATTTTAACAAAACGAAGTTACGTTACTTGATCAGCTGTTCATGTCAAAATATTAAAATCTACCCAAATCCTCGTGGCTGTAGTCAGTCTAAGAATGATCAGCAGTTCTGCTAGGTTCTCAAAAGCACGTCGGCCATGCATTTCCTAAAATGCTAAGAACATTTTTATTATCAATCCCCAAATTCCCTTAGATCAATAAATTCATAACTGTTACATCTGTTTCTGAAGTCGCTCCGCCATTTTATAGGCACCGTTTTGGGGCGTGCACCGTAAAAAGCTAAAAAATCTCCCCTCATCTAAATCGCACCGCGCCCTAACCCATTCAAACTCGGATCCGCACAAAAAACCCGTGGAACAGGTAGTTCCGCCCTTTCAGGCCCCCTATGGGTTGGTATAAAAAATGGTTCTCCGCGGAAAGAGCATGTATAGATAGGGGATAACACGTGCCATTTTTTATATAGACTGGCAGAGCAGGTGCTTTTCTATTAGCTTATGCGTATTCGGAAGGATTCGGCAAATTGGATTAGCAGAATTATCTGGAATTATATTTGAGATCCTCATGGGAACTGAGTTAAGACATAGAATATTGAAAACATGGCGTCAAGTACTTCCCATGCAACGTTGTCATCAGTTCATAAACGATAATGTCGGCACAAGTTAGTCCTTCTGAACTAGCTACAAATATGTATAACAGAAAAATTAAATGGATCAAGTCAGCCAAACAGCCCCATGCAATTAGTCCATACTCCAAAACGCTAACGCTAGTTTGTTTCCTGCTCTAAGTATCGACCATCTTATGGTAGGGAAAAAGACGATGAAGGTAACCATGCTGCCGCAGGGCTCCGTCCTAGGGCCGTTACTTTGGAACGTATTCTACAATGAGGTTCTGCGGTTACAGATGCTGCCGGAAATTCGCTTGATCGGATATGCCGACCATCTTGCGATGATAGTGACTAGCAAGGAGAGAGATACACGTGAAGGACTCTGCATACATAATTTCGAGAATTACCATATGAATGGAAGAAAATGGCTTGAAATTGTCTCTTGAGAAGCCAAAATGCAATTAAGCATCAGGGTGTGTGACTTGACAAAGATCTGCGAATGACTGAACATATAAGGCGCACCAGTGATAAGGTAAATAGCGTTGTTGCATCATTTATACGGCTAGTGCCACCTGGCGGAGTCTAGTAGTGAGAGGGGCAATATTTTTTCTTGGGAGGCAAACTCTATTATGTTATATGTAACAAGGCCTTGAGAAAAGAGAAATATAGACAGCTAATATTGAGGAGCCAGCGAAAAGCAGTACTGCGAGTGGTGTGCACTTACAGAACGGTGTCGACAAATGCACTGCTGGTGGTAGCTGGTATCCAGCCAATTGATTTGCTAGCTGCGGAGAGATGTGCGCTCTATAAAAAGGGAGTCAAAGCTACAAGCGACGAAAGGGAGGCACTTTTTGCCAGTTGGCAGGAGAGATGGGATACAAATGGCCATGGTACATGGGCCAGAAGGCTGATTCTAGATATATAAAAAATTGAATTGGCGAGGGAGCTGTGCGGATAGATTACTATACCGTACAGTTCCTCATAGGACATGGTTGTTTTGACAGCTACCTGAAGATGGTAGGAAAGAGAGAGTACGCTGAGAGAAGAGTATGTACTCCTAATCATCTACTCCAATACGGTAGGTGGGTTAACTACCAGACACAGCTGGAACTTAAGCTCGGCGAGAGCCTCACTGCTGACTATTTTGGCAAGCATATACGCGAAGGAAAATGGGTTGATGTTCAACCAATAGTGAGGCGGATAATACTGAGC